GGTGGTGGGGTGGTGGGGGCGGGGGGGGGGGGGGGGGGGGGGGGGTACATGCTGATCCACACTGACACAGTTGGACCGCTGCTCTCTGTGCCCGTACTACTGTGTACTTTCCTTGTACCAGTGAGTCGTCTTTGATGCTGATTAAACTGCCGCTGTACAAAGACTGGAAAAGATGGAATATTCTTCCCAGTCCACGTTGGCACTGGTTTGTTTCAAACGGCTCATTCTGTGAAATGTAATTTTAAAAAGTAAGAACGGAGGTGATTCAGTTCTGGACAAACCCGGGTTCTGATCAGTCTGGTCCTGGTTTGAACAGAGCAGTGGGCAGTGTGTGTGTGTGTGTGTGTGTGCATCAGTTCATGTCTATGGTGTTAAAGACCCACTCAGTGAACTTCTTCAGTTTGGCCGAGGCGCTGTACGACTCCTCCAGGAGGCGCTGGTTGTCCTCCCGCAGGCTCTGGATCTGGACCTGCAGGGACGCCTTGGCCTCTTTCTCCTGATGAAGACACACATCGATTATGAGACAGTACACTTTCACAGTACGAGGAGGGAGTATGAAGTACACGAGACACAGCTGTAAAACCAAGGTTTAAAATTTCATCTTCTATCCTGATACACCTCTCTCTCTCTTTATATATATATAAATATATATATACACATATATAAATATATATATACATATATAAATATAGATATATATATATAAATATATGTATACATATATATAAACATATATATACAAATACATATACACATATACTGTATATACACACATATATATACAGTGTGCGAACCAAACTGTTCTGTGTATCAGAGCAATTAAATAATCTTCCAGTAGGTGGGAGCAGATGGCTATGAAAAAAAAGCAAGAAAAGAGAGCCTCAAAATTTTTGAGTGTGTCTTTCTTCAATCCCTGTAGGAATATTAGTGGTGTGTTCATCTAAACTGGCCCAGAGGAATTAAATTGAAGTCATCGTATTTCATTTCGTATTCTTCCTGTGACTTTTTTGGTTCTGAAACACTGCTGTAAACATGGTAACCCAACATTACTGGGTTGAATTTTTATTTATTTACCCTTTAATCCTAATCCCTTTAGGATTGGAAGTCCTCGGAAATCCTTTTAGGATTCGGTAATTTCGCAACCTGGGTACATCTATCTATCCAAGAGGTTGACGGCAACCCCAGTAATTATTATTCCTGGTTACTCCATTCAGAGTGAACAGTTAACCTAATCCTGTGTACTACTGGAAACTCCATACAGGAAATCACAATCACACACCCTCTTAAGGTCATCCTGCAGGGTCTTGACCATTGACTCCAGCTGGCTGACCTTCCCCATCAGAGAGGCCGGGGTCTCCCTGTGAAATGGGACAAGGACGTGAACGATTAAACTTTAACGATAGAAAGTCAGTCACAGGAGGATTGAAGGAGTCTCTCTTACCCCGGTGAGGGTTGCTGTCTCACTGGGGCTGCCTGAGGCTCAGCCTGCTGTGGGGGGCCGGCTGCTGCACTCTCTGCCACGGTGGTCTCCTCTTGAGCTGCTAAGAAGACCAGTCGCTGCTCTGAATAGTTAAAAAAAAAAAAAAGTGTGTGTGTGATTATTTATAAACTATGGGACAGGAATAAATGCGTGTCAATGGTGCCCTCCTGTGGTGAGAGTAAATAATGATCTTCTTGGAATTGTGCCACAACCACTTAAATAACAGGAACTTGTAGTTAATTATTAGCAATTAATACTGTAGATAAAAATACGTTTATGTATATATACATACATATATAAACATATATACATATATACACATATACATAAATACACAGATATGTCTTTTTTGTTTGATTCTGTGCTTTTCTCTTGTTCCAGAAACTCAACTATTTTTCATGGTTCTCTCGTTTTACATGTACAGTATGTCTTCCAGGAAATGAACACAGAACATGCGTTGTTAAAAGCTTAGTCTGCAGAGGCTGCCCTCTGCTGTTCGTATTCGATAAATTAAACTGCAGTTAACATGGTTTACGTCAGGGGTTTTTGGACTTAAAACTTAGCTACTTAGCTACTATTCAAAGGACCAAACTGA